ATATATATATATATATATATATATATATATATATATAGAGAGAGAGAGAGAGAGAGGGTGGGAGAATGAGGTGTAGAGAAAACCCTAAATAAATAAATAAACTAGAATTGAATGGTGGTTAGGACAATCTTTTTCAAATTTAAATACCTCACTCCATCCCCTATTATAAAAAATAAACAAATTTTTAGTGAAATAAATTAAATAAAAAAAATATCATATCTTTCTTGTTAATTAGACATTCATATTAATATACTTTTTTATTCACTTTTTCGTGATTTTTCGGTTTTTCATTCATTCAATTACTTAGGTTTAGAACTGGAAACGAGGGGTATATGTTTATAAAATTTGAAGATTCCCCATCTTCATCCCATTCTCGGTCAACTTCGAGGATTACTCGATCAAACAAGGTTTCGATATCGAATTCCCCGTCAAACGATGAAACTTTTTGAGATCACTGTCCATAACAAAAATCAGTATCATCAATTATAAAAGTAAATCAAATTGTGAAGAAAGTCACATAATTTTATTGCGTCAAATCCTCCTTGATTGGTGACACTTATCATGGGTTTTCGTTTTATATATACGCATTGGATTCTGATTTAAGCGAGAGTCGTTTGTAATTTGTTGTACATGTCATGTGCCCACTAATAAATTAAAATTAAAATTAACATTAAATATTTTTTAATATTTAAAAAAATAGCCGCTTAATGAGACATTTGTCGTGCTAAGCACACATTGATTGAAAAAGAAGAAAAACAGCTCGAAATGTAGAATTTTAATTTTGAGTAAATTACATATTTACCCCTTCGACTTATATGTAGAGTTAGTTTATAGCATTCTTTTCTACCAATAGATATTAATTTTGAATTATTCTTACTCTTGTCTTTTTTTCTTTCATAAATCAACCATAATTTAATTTAGAGTACATCACTAATATAAATATGAATATCGATGAATCATGATTGATATCCCCTGTGCATCTCATCCTGATATGCATCTAATGATGGAGATCCTTTCTCACCGGAACTCAACGTCTACTGTTAAGTGGATATTAGGGTTTTATTATTTTATGTTTCAATATGATGTATGTGTGATTTTTTATATATGTTTTTGTTTGGAAAAATGAAGACAATATTACATTTTGTAAAACCTTTTATACGGTTAAAAAACCCAAACCGCTCTTAACATGTGTATAACTTAGTGAAGTATAATCAAGACATCAATTGAATGGACCTGATTGTAATACAACTGTATAATTTAAACTACCAATACGGAAAAAAGGGTTTATAAGATTACATGCAAATTGATAATAAAAAGAGGACCAAATTTGTAACTTAGTATTTAATAAATTATAGAGTAAACTATGGATTTGGTCGTGGTATGTTGAAAATTATGGATTTGGCCCCTCTTGTAATGTCCGCCTATCGTCACAATACCTTTTTACCATTTTTCTCTATTTTAACATTCTTCGTCTTCTTCATTTTAACAATCAAGAACATCTTCAAAATCAAAATCAAAACCCTAAAATCTTTATAATTCTTGTTCTTCGTACACATGAAAAAACCCTAACCGGAAATAAAAACAATCAAGAATCTCATAATTCAAAATTAAAAAAGAAATCAAGAATTCTAGCTCAAAAAAATTAAGAACAATTCAAGAATCCTAACACAAAATCAAGAACAACTGAATGTTCAAAACCATTAACTCTGCTATTATGTTGCTTTTATTTCACGAAGCAAAACCAGTTATGTTGGTTCAGTTTCCACGATTTGACAAAGCAAAACGAGTCATGATGGTTCGATTTCATGAAGCAAAATGGAACCCTCTTGTTACCAATCAACCTTGTTGCAAAATCAAGCTACTTTTAGATCAGGGATTGGAGCAAATTTGGATTTGATTTCACGAAGCAAAATCACACTGTTTTATGGAGGTAAGTTGGTGGCCAAAGAATACGACAACTGAAGTTAAGGGGAGATAGATGGGAGGCCTTGAAAACCCAACTATTTGAGGGACTGTTCTTTGAAAACCCAGCAAACTAGGATGATTTCATGGATTTAGAATTGAGAGAGAGAGAGAGAGAGAGATGAAGATTGAGAGGAGGTAGGAGAGGGGCGTCGATGACGAAGCTGTGCAGCATCGACAAGACGAAGGTGTGGGGTGCCGTCGGAATATGGCATGAATTACGTGGATGTGTATGTGCGTGTATTAAAATTGTTAGAATTAAAAAAAGATGGTAAATTGACTTTGTACCCTTAGAGTTAACAAAGATGGTAGATGACCTTTAATGAAAAGGACCAAGTCCAAAACAAATTACATATATGAAGTCGTATTTTATAATAAATGAAAGATGAAGGACCAAATCAATAACATTTAACATACAAAAGGGACCAAATCCATAATTTACTCTTAATTCTAATTAAATACGACAGTAATGTCTCATTGATGTTCTTGGACAACGTGGTGGAGTGGTTACCCACGAACTTGGTATTTATATTTTTTTCTTAATTTTTTATATTAAATTATTAGATTTAATATGCAATAAATTATGGCCGAACATTTTATGCGGTATGAGAAATGAAATGGAATTAGTCAATCCCATATTAAAACCTTGTACCTATTTTTTGCTTCCTTAATTTATTTTTAAATAATCACATCCTTGACTTATTAGGATACTGAGGGGCAGTTTACTAAACACTTGTTACCGGATAAACTTTTTTATCGAATGAACATGAGAAGTGTCGAGAATCTTACCGGGTAAGAGCGATGAGAATGATGGAGAGTCTTACCCGGTAAGTGAGGATGACGACTCTTACCGAGGTAAATGCTTACCCAGTAAATTGTCGCATTCGATATGTTTTGATATACTAAAATCTTGCACATCAAAATAAATCATAGTGTTGACTCCTATTGATAAATACTTACTCGGCAAACAATTGAGTAAACGGGTCCCTAAATTATGCTGGTAATTCGGATATTCTTAGACCAGTAATCTTTTAGTGCTTTACAACTAACGAATTTGAGATCAAGATCGAGATTGGGACCATGCATGATTCTCTAATGTACAAGTGAGCAACGCATGGCGAAAGCTACTTTTTGGAAGTTGATCTCCAATTGCTTGTTAGAGAATAAAGATTCCATTACTAGAAAGAAAACCTTTTGCTTTTATTTTTTTTCTTCTTGGTGATCCAATAGCAAAGCAACAGTACAAGTGACCGAAGCGTAGCCCCCACTTAAATTGATTTATAAAAGGGAAATTAAGTTAAATACACATTTAAATTGGTCTCTTAGTCATTCTTCTCCTGCGTTTTTTCAAATGTCACTACGTTCCCAATATTTACATCTGTAATATTGCAGACCTGGGTTGAATCTGATAAGTTATTCTTTCTGTCTTTTAACCAGGTTGATAATATCACAGACATAATGACATTTAGGTAAACTCAAAAAAGAAATAACTAGCTGGCCTATTGCATGCAAAATCTCACTGTCTTGTACAGCCTGAACTGAAGGGAAGATCATTCAAACCCACTTGCCTCTTATTTAAATGGACCCAAAATCTATCACATTTTTAATGAATAATTTATACCTTATGGTAAATATTATTTCTAGGATCTGATCCTGCAGAGTAACGTACAACTTCCACTGCACAATGTACATCTTGATATAAAAAAACTCCTCAGATTTAGTCTTACCAAAAATGGTACTACTTCCAATGCACAATGAATATCTTACTCTCGATGCTCAATTCACATGTGAATATGGTCATTTATATTCTACGCTCGTTAGAGAGTACCGTCTTACATCCCACATGCCCACGCACAAAAAGAAGGAAGGAATAACTCGATTTGTGTAAACAAGATGGACTATTATACATTTCAAGAACAAGTTGTAATGCTTATGGTACAACTACTTAATGCAGTGTTTTAAGCGACCGTAAGATTACAAATTTGCCCATATTCCCAACACCAGATATGGTCATCATAATAACATACAAACAACTGTTTAATTTAAGCTTTTCGTGGCATAAAAAATGAATGAATTTCGAGAAAAATAATTGTAACCTGTGTATCGGATTTTCATCTTCTTTTTCTTGGTTCGATCTATCGACAATCCATCGAGTCAAACGAGTCGGCAAATCCCGAAGGTTTAGAGGGAATGCTCGATTGTGTTTGATTGAACGACATATCGAATGTTCTAGAAGTACCCTCATCGGCTTGCCATCTTTGAAGGGCTTGCGGAAGGCTCATATGGAGGTCGATTCCATAGCCGTCTTCTTCTTCAGGTCGAGAAGGTTTCCATTGCTCCACAAGTGGACCCAACACGTTAACTGCGTGACCCATGTCGGGTCTCTGAAAGGGCTCACGGGCCGTGCAATGGCCCGCAAGCTCGGCTACCTTTGAGATGCTATCGAGTGTTTCTTCGTCTTCGGTTTCGAGAGTTTGGTCGATAGCCTTTAACATGTTTTCCTTGGAGATAAGGACCCTGCGAAACCATGTGACCAAGTGACACCGCTCGTCGGACATTGTCTCATCGAGGGCTTTTCGGCCCGTTATCAACTCCATTAACACCACCCCAAATGCGTAAACATCCACCTTTGTGGTTACTCTTCCAGTAGCTGTTTCGATCAAGAAAAATCCCAAAAGTTCATCAGATTTCGGGCATTTTAGGTCCTTTCAACACCAAATATCACAAATTTTGATACAAAAAATGTGAAATTACATGACGTCAAATATGTCTAAATGTTCTATAGGACATAAATTTGTAATCACGTAATGTATTACGATAATTTGATAGAATGTTTAAGTTTTTTAGGACATTTTTGAAATAAAATGTCGTGTTATAAGACATTATATTTCAAATGCTTAAAAATATCAACTTATTGTAACACATTGGTTTGTTAAGATAAACATAACCTATAAGACAATTTATTAAGACATTTAGACATATTTAGCATCATATAAATCCTAATTTTGTTGTAGTGTCTTGAATCAGAAAACGTAAGAAAACGAGGCTTACCAGCATACTCGGGTGCAAGATAACCGAAGGTTCCAGCCAGTCGTGTCTCAACGGAATACTTCCCATCGGGAGCGTTCTTCACCAAACCGAAATCCGCAACTTTGGCTCGCATGTCGTCACCAAGAAGGATGTTCAACGGCTTTAAGTCTCGATGAATGAAGCTTTGTTGTGCCAAACTATGCAAATACTCGACCCCTCGTGCCACATCCAAAGCAATCGATACCCTTTGTTTCCAACTAAGAGAAGGCGTCTTATGTTCGCTCCATTCGAACAAATGTTGACTTAAGGTTCCTTGTGGCATGTACTCGTAGACCAAAAGCCGCTCGTTGTCATTGATACAGTAGCCGAGAAGTGCCACCAGATGCCGGTGTCGGACTTTCGTGAGGACTGCAATCTCGGCTTGGAACTCGTTCAAGCCTTTGGTGCCCATGACGCCCGATTCCATCCGCTTGACCGCGATCTTGGTTCCATCGTGTAATTCGCCTTTGTACACGACTCCAAATCCACCTCTCCCCAACACGTTGTCGGCACTAAAGTTGTCAGTCACTTGTCGAAGAACTTGAATCGAGATCACGACATTTCCTCCTTCAAATACGTGCATTTCGCTATGATCACCGCTGCTTTGAGACTGTAACTCGCTAAAACCGCCACCGTAACCATTCGAACTACTTCCCACCACGCTGGCTTTCATCAATTCTTTACCAATTTCGGGATTCTCGACCCGGCCGAACTTCTGGTGTCGCTTCTTTGCACAACACTTGTAAAACACAAATAAGACGATTCCGACAAAAATAAGAACACCAAGAACAATACCGGCAACCATACCTGCAGAAACCGGCGACCCTTTTGACTTCCCAGGCGGGTTTCCACCGGGATTGGGGGAATTGGGTCCAGACCCAGGTGGACCGTTGGATCCGCTAGGAATGTTTTGACCTAATAGCGGGTTACCATCGTGTGAAAACTTCACAGTTTTGAAATCTGGTATTGGACCAGAGAGATTATTGTTGGATACATCAAAGAGTTGAAGATCGTGCAAAGATGTCAAGATTGGAGGAATAGAACCCACGAGATTGTTTTCATTCAGAGATAAACTCCTTAAAGAAGACAAATTTGCAAACGCCGGCGAAATGGTGCCGGAAAATTTCCGCTTAGCAAAGTTCACGGCGGTCACATTCTTCCCAGAAGAATCACAACTAACAAAGGTCCATCCTTTGCAAGCATCGTTACCTTGCCAAGATTCAGCCAAAGACATCGGATACCCAATTGCTCCGGCGACCTCAAGGAGTGCCGTCACCTGGGGATCACAAGGTCCCGGCGTAGGTAAACAGAAACTATTAGAACTAATATCAGCTTCAACACCACTTTGAAACACAGGCAATGCACCCTGTAACTTGTTATTTCGTAACGTGATGTTTGCTAATTTAGGGAGAGACATCAGAGATGGAGGAACCATTCCGGTGAACTGATTATCCCGGAGTTGCAAGTCGAACAAATTAGTGCATTTTGAAAGATCCGGGATAGCTCCGGTGAAAGCATTAGCTTGCAACCATACTTGAGAGAGTTGTGTCATAGAAGAAAGAACATCAAGCGTACCAGAAAGCCCAGTGTCCTGATTGTTGAGCCAAAGATTTTGAATTTCTGACCCACCAAAACTCTTTGGTAGGTTTCCGGTGAGATTGTTGTAAGACAACCGGAGATTCTGCAAACTAAAGAAGCTATCAAAGATATCGGGGATCGAACCCATTATGTTGGCGTTACTCGCCTGAAAAGTCTGCAAATTGGTGCTCTCTGTGAGATCACTGGGAAGAACCCATGGAGACAGATCTGAGTTGTCGGAGATGGTAAAGCTCTGTAGATTAGTAAGACCCAGAAAGAACTCCGGCGGGATAGAGGTGAAATTATTACTGTCAAGGAACACTTGTTCGAGGGAAGTTAGGTTTGCCAAGGTGGGTAAGGCGCCGGAGAGAGAGTTGCGTTGGAGGAAGAGGGTCTTGAGCTGAGAGAGCTGGTTTAGATCGGAAGGGAGGTTTCCGGTAAGGGATTTCGTAGCAAGATTAATGCCGGTGACACGTTTGTTGTCACATACAATTCCATCCCACACACAGAAGTCATCGCCTTTCCAGGAGGATGGGGAAGGAGAGAGGGAGGTACGGAGCTCAAACATGACGGAGGCATCATCGGCGACGGAGAAAGAGAGGAGGAGGAAAGAAATGAAGAGACGGTGGCGGTGGTGGTGGTTGGCATCGCCATGTGCCATTGTCGTTTAAGAGTGGAAGCCTTGAAGTTATGAGTGGGGGTGAAGAGACCATATAAGGAGAAAGACAGATGGGTTTCTTTAATTCTTGTCGAAGACCAACGCCGTGGATACCGCGTTGTTTTAGTTTTCACCGTTTACCTGCGCTGCAATTGGTTTCTTTTTTTCATGATTCACCTTCAACTATTACTCATTCTTCATATTTGGTCCCTCTACAATTTCTTCTAAAACAAATCCATACCCTCATCTACATATGGCCACACACCGGTCCTAAAAAATATCTGGTATTGACCCATTTTTAATAAGTTCATGATTGGTTTGTCTTATAAAAGTTTGGACCGACTAGGGACTGAAAATCCGGTCTAGTCCAATCTTATGACGTGATGGTATTATCTAGAACTGGTCCGATTCAATATAGTATTTTTCCCTATTTCTACACCATCAGGAGATGCATAAATGGGACGGGGACCGAGGAACGACCTAGTTACACTAAAACCATGCCTAAATCCACTCCAATTTTAGAAAGATGGTTCTCGTGATATTTTTGGGAGAAGTTCGGTTAAAAGTGATCCTCATTAACTCCAAATAAACCCTGGTTTTAAGGCGGGTCAAAGTTCGGTCGAACTTGATTTTCTTTGTAAATTGAAGGACCATAAAATTCAGTGACCAACTCCTCTTTTACTCCTAACAGCTAATTTTTTGTCTTTTTATATTTTTTTTACATTCTTACTTTTGAACCCCTAACATTAGTCGGTGTAAAGAGTGTTATTGGAAATTTGGAATGTGATTTAAAAAAAAATATTATGGTTAGGATGCATCATGATGGTTCGGTTCTATAGTTATTTTAACATTTTTATAAATCAACTCAATTACGGTAGTTTATAAGATATCAATTCAACTCAACATATTCAAAAGTATAAACCAACCCAACCATCAAGGATAAAAGTAGGATGGGTTAGGTTGTAATGTGCAAAAACTTCTACCAATTTTCTTACTATGATAAATAGGCATGGCAACGGGGCGGGAATAGGGCGGGTTTTGTAATCCCCGGCCCCGGTCCCCGGTACGGGGATTATCATCCCGTCCCCGGTCAAATCTCTAGCAATCCTCGGCCAAAACCCGATAAATCCCATAAATAATATCTTTTAGGTTGATTCTACAGGGGATCCCCATCCCCTGTTTGAGTAACATCCCCCATCCCCGGTTTGAGTCTACCGGGGATCCCCGGGACCCATTTTAGCGGGAAATCCCCGTTCGGGTCGGGTGAACCAGGTTCCCCACCGGGTTGGGGCAAATCACCATCCCTAATGATAAACATAAATTTTCCACAATCTATATTATATTATAAAAACTGTGTACACACAATCCAATATAAATTAAAAAGTTTAAATACTTGTTAATTTGTAAAGTAAAAACATTAAAACCTTAAACATATTTATCGCATCCATCGATGAATGTTACACCATAAACTACGTATGCACAATCTAATATAAATTTAATGTTTATTTGATTGTTACTTGTAAAGTAAGTACATGAAAGAAGCTTAAACATATTTACCTCATCCATCGATGAGTACTGTTGCAGCATACACTGTGTACGCACAATCCAATATAAATTAAAAAGTTTAAGTACTTGTTAACTTGTAAAGTAAAGAAATTAAAACCTTAAAAATATTTACCACATCCATCGGTGAGTATTGTTGCACCATAAACTGCATACGTACAATCCAATATAAATTTAATGTTTATTTAATTATTACTTGTAAAGTACAAAGATCAAAAAGCTTTAAAATACTTACATCATCACCTTACATCGTTTTCATATTTATTAAGTCTCGCGTCGAGAAGCCAATATTTTTCGTTCATAAGGTCTGTAAATGACACAAACTTTTGATTGACCCCAACACTGAATTGGTTGAATTCAACACATCATTGGGGGATGTCGGTATATGCCACAGATGAATGACGTTGTTGTAGCTCATATCGTGGTCTATGAGAAGTGTGCGCTGCAAATGATTGACACGCTTCAGATGGTTGGACGTCATCGTCATCATCTGATTCGTGACCGATGCCATGATCTGGGTCCGATTGTCCATAATGATTATTTGACCAAAAATCCCTGTATTTGATCCACCATTGGGTCGACTCCTCGTCATCAATGAGATCAGAGGGCAAAACGCATTCTAAAAATATATAAATCAATACACTGTTTTTTTTAACATAAATATCATAACTAAAACTGGTAAATCTTCAATCTATAATAATGAAACCAGATTTTGTCAAAATTTGTGAACAAGCAACACCCTTCCCATTTTATAATGTTTCTTCATTTCCATCCAATAGCCCTCAACATTGACGGATTATAACGAATTTTTTTTCCCCGATAAAATGTCTCTAAAATCCAGATCTGATAAGTTACAGAAAGAACATGGTGAGAAAATGTCAATTAAACAGTAAATAAGATCTTATAGGAAAAACGATAACCGACCTTGAAGGCATATACAAAACCATACGATGTGTACTTGTTCGGTGACCAATTTTTATATTTGCGATGCTCGAACGCATTTTCAGTTGTTGATATGTCAGATGCCATATATACGAGCACATGGGTATTAGTTCCAGACTTCTAAATTTTCAACCAGATGCAAAATCCAGTGTTGGATAGTGTGATTCTTTTTTCGTCCAAGAAATACTGTATGAAGCATTATTACGAGGCAGACACGCACAACATCATCGTCTGATATGTCTTTATTGTTTAAGTCGATTAATTTATTTTTAAAATGTTCGAGTTTGATATTAGTATGTTTGGTCATTTTACCAAACAATCTTGTAATAATTAAATGGATGGTACAATGTCATGGGCGAAACTCCGGCCCAAATCGAAAAACCGTGATCAAACAGAGCTCATGTCTGCTGAACCGTAAATAAAACCCTCCAACACGATAATATATTTCTTCAGATTGAGAGGGAAAAAGAAGAGTCCTTACATTGCACCGTCCAATTAATTAAGGAGGAATCTGCATGTTGGTTAGATATATCTAACCATGGGTCGAAACATGTATCTCTTAACATTTTTAACCTCTTTGGACTAGTAGATAATTTTTTGTTAATCTTTTAGTATGACAATTGTGCCCTTAACGTTAATAAAGACTAGTAGAACACCTGTCAAAAATTTAATGTTGTACAAAACCAATCAAAACAAAAATAAAAAATACATTATTAAGTTAAATACTAGACAAAAATAGATTCTTAAGTTAAATTAAAAGAAATTGCGATTTTTACCGGTTGTTCCATGATTGACGGTGGTAGGTGGCAGTAGACGATGGTACATGTCGGTATACGGTGGTGGAAGAAGTTGGTCTATGGTGGAAGATGTCGATGGACGGTGATAGATGTTGTTATACAATAAAAGATGTCGATGGACGGTGATAAATGTCGATTTACGGTAAGTCTGGTTCTTTATGGTGGAGTCACTGAACGGTGGGAATGGTGATAATGGTCCCTTACCACCGCCTATTTATATAAACCATTACGTAATAAGACAAAATAGATCGTCAAATCGTTGTCAAAATAGATCGTCAAATCGTTGTCAAATCAACGTCATATCAATTAGAAAACATTTTTAGGGTCAAAATCGCCCTCATGGGGCGATTTGGACTTCCTTATAATATCTGATTTTTATCCCCCAAATGGTATACATGTACAGCACTAGAAAATCATATTTTTATCTCCCAGGGGTGATTTTGATTATACAAAGTTGATTTTCATAAAAAAAAGTGGAGAAAATTATATGTTTGATCCACTAATGGTATGCATATGGACCCATTCGTACCTCAAATGGAGAAATCATGAAAATAATTTTTTTCGTATCAACAATTATTAAAAAATAATAACATTTATTGGTTTTTCATAAAAACTATATTTTTATAAGAAAATATAAAAACATTCGTTGGTTCTTATCTGATTTTTGACCCCCAATGGTATACACGTGAGATCCATCCGTACCTCAAATGGAGAATCGTGAAAATAATTTTTTTTCCTATCAACAATTATTAAAAAAAACACTCGTTGGTTTTTTGTAAAAACTATATTTTTGATAAAAAAATATAAAAATATTCGTTGGTTTTTATCAGATTTTTTATTCTCAAATGATATACAGGTGCGACCCATCCGTACCTCAAATGGAGAAATCATGAAAATAAATTTTTTCATATCAACAATTATTAAAAAAACATTTAACATTCGTTGGTTTTTCATGAAACTATATTTTTGATAAGAAAATATAGAAACATTTGTTGGTTCTTATCCGATTTTTGGTCCCAAAATGGTATACATGTGGGACTCATCCGTATCTCAAATGAAGAAATCGTGAACATAACTATTTTCTTATCAGTAATTATTAAAAAAATATAAACATTCGTTGGTTTTTCATAAAAACTATATTTTTATAAGAAAATATAAAAAACATTGTGATTTCATTTATGCGTTTAAAAAAATAGTAAAAATTGTAAAGATTGACGTGATTTCATATTGTGTTAAAGATTGTGATGGTAGATTGTATTTAAGAATTAAGAGTTGTGAGAGTAGAAGTGTTTGAATCACTATAATTTTATAGAAAATATTATAAGATTTATATATACTACATTTGGTCCTAAAAGACAAAATACTAGTCAAAATCGTCCCTCATGTCTTGAAAATCTTTTGTACAAAAAATCCTTCTCAATTTCCATTCCGCTATGTTATATAAATAAAACTTAATAAAATAAATAAATAACATCTGAACTAAATAAATTTCATGATATTCTTGTTCCACGAAATTGTGCACCACAAATAGAAGCTAATACAAAAAGTTCAAATAGATCCCGATAGATATTGGTTGACACCGGCATATAAGGTGATCTCATTTTTTTCATCGGGTCCCGGTAGAGACCAAAGATCTCACTAGAAACGGGGGTGTAAAGTTTAGATAACGAAAGAAGAACGTCAAAATAGGATTATCGTAAG